GAGCCCCGCCCCCCGGGGCGGTCCTCCCGCCCGCCCCCCGTGCGCCTCCTTGTGGATTTGGCGAGGGCCGCCGGCGAGCCGAGCAGGGCAAGGACTAACGGTCCTGCGGCCCGGCTCGCCGGGCCCGGGCCCAGGCCCAGCCCAGTGTGAGGAGGCACGGGCGCGGCAGGCCTGCAGGGCCCGGCTGGGTGTGGGCGTGCTGAGTGAGCAAACTGCCAGTCTGGCTGGAGCCTCCGGTCGGCGATCCCAAGTACTGAGGGAGGCTGAGGCAGGAGGATCGCATGCTGGAGTCCGTATTGGGCGGTTTAGCAAGGGGTTAACTCAAGATGAAAAATTGTAAAAGGGCTCCACCCAAAGATCCTGGATTCCATATGCAGTACCGTAAACACAAAACGCTTTGGACGAATTAGATTGGGCAGTTGTTTTAGCAGGGACGCAACACCGGGCAAGGCGGGCAGACAGTACTTCCAGTGGAAAGGGCCGCTGAGCCCTGCGCAAGCCCGTTCGCGTGGCGCGTCCAGGTACCGCGCATTCACAGGGTGAGGGCTCGCACTGGTGGACAACAGGCGCCATCCGCCTCGGACCAGGTTGGATTTAACTGCATTGCGCGCTCCCTGCCTTTCTGTTTGCTTGTTTGTTTTGTAAGTTGACACAGAGATACATGTATTCATCCTGCAGAGCAGGCTTTGGGTTTGCCTTGGGAGTGGCTAAATCTGGCTGACAATCGCGCAGGCTCTCCGAGCTGGCATTTTTGCGGGGAGAGTATTCCCCGTGGTGTGCACCTCCCCGGCTGTGAAGAGCACACCATGGTTAACGTGACCGTACTGAGTGAGTTTTCGGAACAATTCCTCCGGCCCAGCCGATGTCTCCCCACTGCCTCCCATGACCCCAGCTCTGGCAACCACTTCTACTTTGTCTTTTTGTGACCAGATTATTCCTCTTAACATCCTTAGCGTAACCTGCAAAAGTTGCTGCTCTGGCAGGCTCTCGTTCTTTCTTGTGGCTGAGTGGTATTCTGCTGCGTGTCTATAACGTGGGCTCCTTACCGTTGATGCATGGGTGGACGTGACACACTGATTTCATTTCCTCTGGTGCGTTCCCAGTGGGGGGATTGCTGCTCAGTGGGCTTCTGTTCTTGACATCCCAAGGGATCTCCCGGCTGTCTTCCGTAGCTGCTGCAGTAATGCACATTGCCACCCCCCACGCCAGCACCCACCGGCACTTGTCTCTTCCAGGTCACCATTCTAACTAGAGTGAGACAGTGCCTCACAGAGCTTGATTTGCATTTCCCCGAGGATCGGTGATGCTGAGCATTTTAAAAATAAACCTGCTGGCTGTTTTTAGGTCCTCTTTGGAGAAACGTCCAAACAGGGCTTTTGCTCATTTTAAAGTCAGCTTGCTGGCCGGCTTTGGAGTGCAGTTCCTAGTGTGTTTTGGATACTGACTCTTTATCTGAGGTACAGTCTTCGAATGCTTCCTCCTGTCCCACGCACTGTCCTGCATGCTGTGACCGTCTCCGGCGTGTGTACAGATTCTAGTCCATGGGACCCATCTGTCTGTGTTTGCTTTGGTTGCCTCAGTTTTTGAGGTTACAGCTGAATGTTCCTTGCCCGGACCAATGTCACAGAGCTTCTGCTAGGTTTTCTCTTCTTGGTTTCTTAGTTTTGTGTCTTGCCTTTGGGTCGATTTTTGTACACGGTAGGAGATGAGGGTCCAAGTGTGTTCTCCTGGGTGTGGAATTGGCTCTCTCTCCTGCTCCCTGGGCCCGGGGTCTGTTTTGTACCAGGACTATGCTGTTTGGGTCACTACAGCTTTGCAGTGTCATTTGGGATCAGGTAGCAGATGCCTCTTCGCTTTTTCACTCTGGGTTGGAGATCTGTCAATTCCTCCCTTTCTGTCAAATCCTAAAAGGCTTCTTTTGTGTTGGTACCAAATTCATAATTCACAGCATTGGGTTGGTTGGGCGACTCTTCCTGCTTTCCTTGTGGGATATACACAGGATGGCAGCACGGGGACGCCACACAGCCGAGAGGCCTTCAGGTCCTACTGAGAAGACAACTGAGACACCAAGGTACAATACAGCCCTTGGCAGGACTCTCCAGGAACCAAGCTGACCAACATCAAACAAATCCAAGTGCAGGCCACAAGGACAGCCTGTCTCAGTTACTTTTCTCTCATGGCTGAGACAAAATACCCAACGCCCAAAATTAAGGAAGGAAAGGTTCATTTAGCTCACAGTCTGTGGAGGTTTCAGTCCATACTCAGCTGGTGCCAAGGCAGAGTGGCATGGCAGAGGGCAACAGTTCATGGCAGCAGAAGACAACAAAACTAGCAAGAGCAAAAGGGAGAAGCAGCAAGAGCAAGCCTCTTTCCTTCCCTCAGAGTGTACACAGGCTACGCCCCAGGGTGTGTGTAGCACTCACACCCATACTCCAGCATGGGACCGTGGATCAATCACAAACTCTATAGCCCACTCCATGACTATATGAGGCTCCAGATACAAGCCATGACACAGCCCAATGGCATCTGAGGTCATGGTCCTTATTTAGGGCCTGACGTGCGCTGGGGATATAGCTCAGTGGCATAAGCGCCGGCCTGGCTAGGGCCGGATGGTGACCAAGGACCATCACTTAGAAGACGTCCCCAACTTACAAACGAGTTCTGCCCCGGGAGAATGTTCATAGGTCGGATTTTTGTGAGTCCGACAAAGTGAGTCTTGCTCAGCTTTGAGACCCATGCACGGTGTGTGTCGCGCTGCGCTTCCCGGGTGCCCCCACACCAGCACCTCTTTCTTGTTGCTCGGGGCCGTCCTGGGCTGAGCCCTGTGCTGCTCTGCACGTGGACCGCACAGGAGCATGCGCAGTGCAACCAGGACGGGCATGCCCAGTGCAACCAACCAGTACGAGCATGCGCAGTGCAACCAGGACGGTGCTTGCGGACGGGAGTCCCTGTTAGACGCGTGCGCGGCTGTGGAACGCGAGGCCATTCGCGTCTGGGAAAGCGTGAAAACGTCAGGAAGCCAGGGACTCACCCTGCTCCCAGGCGGCCTGGTTTCAGGAGTCACCCTGGTGGCACGAGTCACCGCCACCCAGAGAGGCACAGGTTGGAAGACCTTGTGCTCGGGTGAGCACGCTGGCTGCGCGCAGGTGTGTTTGGTGCAGTGTCCAGGGCAACCGTGGCTCAGCCACCTTTAGGTTAGGGTCTCCGTGGTAACGAAATGGAGGGCAACAAGTGCAGCACACAGGGCTGTTCAGTCTCACGCACAAGCCGGGCTGGATCCCGCTGGGTTTGTCGTTTTGAGGCAGGGTCTCGCTGTGCAGTGCAGGCTGGCCTTGAGCTCATTCTTGTAGCCGAGGCCGGTCTGAACTCACGACGGCCCTCCTGCCTCAGCCTCCCAAGCCTGGGATTACAGGCATGCGCCCCCACGCCCAGCTTCCGCGAGTGTTTGCCCGCGCCGACTCAGCCTCATTCACCTTCGGACATGGCTGCCCAGCCAGCCCCTCCGTGCCCAGGAGTGAGCCCCAGCTCTGTGGGGAGCTGTCCTCTGTGGAAACCAACTTATCCTCTTCTATTTCGAGGTTACTTGGTAATTTTGTTCATCGACTACTTTGGCTTCTGACTGTAGGAGATATTATGGGAAATATCGCAGTACCTTTTGACCCCAGGAGGAGATACCCAAGGCCCATTACCTAAAGGGGGAGGAGTTGCTCTGGCTCCTGGGTCAGCTGGCTCGGGCAGAGATGGACTGGGGAGGACGCCCCGGCCAGGGCAGCCGCTCACATCGTGAGGGCGGAAGCAGTGTGAGAACGGGGAGCCGGGCACAAGGACGCAGGCAGGGTCCCACCCAGGGACGCCCCAGCCAGAGCCCGCTGCTCATGGTGTGTGGCTTTAGGTCTGAAGACCGACAGAACTACCGGGGCTGTTCAGATGAGGAAGCAGTGCAGAGGGAGAACAGAGGAAGGAAATTCTCCACGGTGGGGCACTTCACTTGTATAAGCCCTTATTTTCCCTAAATCCAACTAACTGGAGCTGTTTTACACTTTATTTTGGCAATGTGGTAGGAAAATAGAACAGTGTCAAACGTATCTGTCACCCATGCAGACACACGTGTGCACGCAGGCACTAACGGGTCCTGCAGCGGCACTTGTCAGCTTCTACCCCTGTGCTGGGAACCACAGTGCACGCTCCCTGGATCCTAGTTGTTTTTCTGGCTGATGGAACAAGGTTTCCTGCCCAGATGGCTAAAGCATTTGACTCGTATTTGTGAAAAGACTTAAGATGATGTCATTTGCTTTCTGCAAGAAACCTTTTAAGGGGACAGTCTGCCAGGTGTGGTGGCGAAAGGCTGTAATCTCAGCCCTCAGAAGGCCGAAGCAGGAGGATTGCTGTGAACTTGAGGCCAGCCTGGGCTACAAAGTGAGTTCAAGCCCAACCTGAACTACATAGTGAGACCCTGTCTCAAAAGAAAAAAAACAGGGGGGGGGGAGGTGGCAATCTACAAGGTATTTACTGTTTCAGGTATGTCTGTGTATCAGTTTTTTTTTTTTTTTCTGAGACAGGGTCTCACTATGTTTTCCAGGCTGGCCTTGAATTCCTAGTGATCCTCCTGCCTCAGCCTCCTGCGTTCTGGGATCATGGGTGTGTACCACCATGCCTTGCTTCTATGCATCATTAAAAAATGGTCTCGTTGATCCGGTGGGTGCTGGTTCCTTTCTCTCTGTATTTCAGAGGTGAAAGGCAGAGGAAAATACGTGCAAATGCAAGTTCTCATCCTGCAAACGGCTTAGCTGCAACCGCCTTGCCGACTACTGTCTGCGACTCGCTGTCCAGCTTCCTTGGCAACTTGGCTGCTCCTGGCCCATGTGGTTCGGACTCCATGTACCCAGCATCTGTCTAGGTGACTCACACGGGGAGCACACACCACAGTACTGACCCCATGTGGAATGAGTGGTGTCAGGGAGCTGGGTTAATTAAGGATCATCTTTTTTTCCAGCCATGTGGGGTGCGCGCACCTTTAATCCCAGGATTTGGGAGGCTGAGGCAGGAGGATTGCTGAGAGTTTGAGGCCAACGTGGGCTACATACTAAGTTCAAGACCAACCTGAACTGCATAGTGAGACCCTGTCTCAAAAGACAAAAAACAACCGAAAAAAACACAGTCACTATTTCATTCCCTTTTAGTCTTTTTCCATTGAGTGGTTACCTCCAAAGCCAACATTTCTTCACATTATTTTACTTTATTTTTGTCTTTTTGAGGCAGGGTCTCACTATGCAGTTCAGGCTGGCTTTGAGTTCACTTTGTAGCCCAGACTGGCCTCGAACTCACAATGGTCTTCCTGCCTCAGCCTCCCCAGTGCTGGGATGACAGGCGTGTGCCACCATGCCCAGGCTTTACCTTATTTTAAATGTCTGAATCATGTCACATTGATGAGCATTTAAAGTGTTTCCATTTTTCTCCTATGGTAGATACGACTTCGGTGAATTTGGGTGTTTGTTTTTTGAGATGGGCTCTGACTATGTAGTCCAGGCTGGCCTCAAACTCATAGCAGTACTCCTGCCTCAGCCTCCTGAGTGTTGTGATTACAGGCACGTGCCACCACGACCAGCAGAATCACTCATTTTTAAGGTTCCACGGTTGCCAGATTATTTTCGAAAATGGTGAATCAATTTATAATCACCAGCTTTGCAAGGAGTCCTCCCCCACCGCTCCTCTAGTGCATGAGAAATGGGTGCACAGATCCCTCTGCAGCCCTCCCCCGGCCGGCTTCTCACCTTTCTGTAACTGGGGGTCCACTCTCCTCTGGGCTCCACTTGTCCCCGGGCAGCGTCTTCCAGAAGTGAAGGTGCTTTCCGTCCGGGTTCTCCCAGCCCGCAGTGTCCTTCCCGGTGCTGACATGTCCCAGTGTGCTTGGGGGTTTGCTGAGCTCAGAACTTGGGGTTCTTTCCAACTTCTGCTCTTAAACTTGCCATTTTTGCGTTGTCCACGACCTCTTTGCCTCTTGCCTTCCCAAGAGTGAGCTTTGCAGCCCTGCCACACCTCTCCAGGCGTTGGCCAGGCCTTTCTGGCCCACCCCCTGGGTATGGGGGCGGTGACCCAAGCCCAGCACCAGGCCCAGGCCAGAGATTACAGCTTGGAGGACCAGTGGGGGGAGTGGGTGTGGCCTGTCAATCACCGAGCAAGCCCCGCACCCGGGACCAATCAGAAAGTGCTATCTTCAATTCTCTTGACATGAGGTCAAGCAGGTTTTTTTGAAAGGAAGGCTCAGATTGGACCTCAGCCTAAAGAATGAGAAATACAAAAGGTCCCCACCATTAACCTTGCAGCCACTGGGAGCTCTCTCTGCAGAGCATGCTTTTTTCCTTTAATAAATGTAAGATCTCAGCCGGGCGTGGTGGCGCATGCCTGTCATCCCAGCACTCAGGATGCTGAAGCAGGAGGATCGTTGCAAGTTCAAGACCAGCCTGGACTACAAAGTGAGCTCAAGGCCAGCCTGAACTGCATAGTGAGACCCTGTCTCAAAAAGACCAAATAAATAAATGAGTAAATGAGTAAATGTAAGATGTCGCTACATTTTTTGCAGGTCTTGTCCAAATCTTTGCTCAAGATGACAAGAACCTGGGAAGAGTCTCTCAAAAGAGTCCATAGAACCCCAGAATCCTGGAACAACCTGGCATCCTGGTGGGCCTGGGACACCTATGCTCCCCCCTGAGAACTTAGGGAGTCTTCCTGAACCCCAGTTTTATCTGTCAAATGAGGGCTTTAGAGTGAGTGAATTGAGGACTTTTGTTACCGAAAGCTGACCACACTTCTGCCTGTTCTGCATCACCGTCTCCTGCCTACCAGGGGCTCCTCCGCGGGCCCGGGCCTCTTTTCCTGGCTGTAGGGTGAGGTGAGGGGTGGCAGGCGCTCCCCGGCGTGTTGGGAAAGCGCAGCCTGTGATACCACACAGTGATGCACCTCCTGGCTGTTACACCATGCACAAGTCCTTCAGAGCACTCTGGCTCGGGGTTCTGAGTGGAATCTCACATCCGTGTGCTGACGATTCCTGCAAGCTGTAAAGGCACATACGCAAGCAGCAAGCGTACAGCCCCGAGGACCAAGCCGGCACCCTCTGTGGCCCCTCAAGTGGGTCCACGACTGAAATCCCATCTTCAGGCCTGAGTGGGGGCCGACTAGACAAACCCTTTCCTGGTGGCTCTGATCCTGCACTAACTTGCCTTGCTCAAGATATGAATCACATGCCTCGTTCTTCCACAGTGTTTGTAATTCCAATTGTTCGTTCTAGTTAGGAAACAGCAAAATCAGATTATCCACCGCTGCCCATTCTAATGGGGCCATTGTCCAGGACCATAACTGCGAAAGGTCACTGGGTTGCCTGAGGCAGGGGTGCGGGTTTGGGTCTGCTTTGACACAGAGCCAAAAAGCCTGGTCAGACCACAGCCTGGCGCCTGGACAAGGTCAGCAGGCACAGCAGGAGGAGGACCGGGTGTGCTCAGCCCTTGCTCTCTGCCACTTTCTCTCTGCTGCTTCCTCCCCTCGAAGCCCGGCCCTAAAGCCCAGGCTGCTCTGGAAGGAGCTGGCCTCTCCATCCCCAGGCCGCCTGTGGGGTGCTCGGAGCCTGGCACTGTGCCCTGAATCAGCGCCTGAGCAAAGTCGTCCGTCGTCGTCCCTCGGATTGAGGTTGAGAGAGAGCTTGGCACAAATGATCTGTGACACAGAGCGCTGGACTGAAGGGAGATGGGGTCCAAGGACCCGCTTCCATCACAGCAGAGACAGCTAGGATGAAGAGTCCTACCCTGTGCTAAACGCAGGTGTCTGGGGACATCTCGGGGGCGAGCTCATGGGTTCCTCGGTGCCGTCAGGCTCTTGTGTGGAGGCAGATGTGTTTCTAGAGCAGGGGACCGAGGCCGAAGCTGGAACCACACGAGAAATGTCACAGACCTGGGGCTGGAAGGGGCTCCAGGACCCTGTCTACCTTTAGTTCCTGCCTTCGGGAGTTTTGAGTCATGAGCTCACTCATGCTTGTGTACAAGGTCACCAAGTTCAGCCTGGCGTGGTGGGGCACCTGTTATCCCAGCATTCGGGAGGCTAAGGCAGGAGGATTGCCACGAGTTCAGGCCCAGCTTGGGCTACGTCGTAAGTTCCAGGCCAGCCTGAACTGCAGAGTAAGACCCTGTCTCAAAAAACTGAAAAAAAAAAAAAAGGTCACCAAGTTCAAAGAGGAGGAAGCTGGGTGTGTTGTGCTAGTCTTGCTTCTTTGGGGACCTTTCTCTTCCCAGATTGTGTACCTGCTCTGTCCAGGGGCAGAGTACAGGCACACCTGGGCCTTCAGGTTGTCCCAGGGACAACCTGGGTGCCCCCGGTAGGGGATGAGCTTTGGGCTGTGTCTCCCTGGCCCTCTGTCTGCTGCCCCTCGCCCTCCCCTCCCTCCCTTACCCCCTCCATACTAGAGACTGAAGAGCTACATTCCCAGCATTTTAAAATGTTTTTATATCTTGAGGTAGGGTCTCATTAAGTTGTCCAGACTGGATCAAACTTGCAGTCCTCCTGCCTCGGCCTCCCAAGTAGCTGGTATGTGCCAGGTGTGCGCCACCATGCCTGGCTGGCTTATTAATGGTTGTTCTGTTAATGCTGCTTGACAAAAAGATCTTTATATGGAACAAACAAAACACAAAGGCTAGAATTTTATAATCAGATTGGCTTCACTGTGCCATCATTGTGTGCACACCTGTGTGTGTGTGTGTGTGTGTGTGTGTGTGTGCTTGCAGTTACTCATCCCTAATGACAAGGACATTTCCAAATTTGTGTCATTGGGTAATTTCATTGCAGGGCAAACATCATCAAGGGCTGTTGCTCAGTGTGGGGTAGAGGTCAGTCCTCCGGGCCCCCGGTGCCGTCAAGGGCTGGTAAGCGCTAGCCACGCTGGTGCGTGCCTAAGCCCACAACAGACTATCTCACTGAAGCTCCGTGTGGGAAAAGTATGGTGAGGACCCAGGCCAGTGGCGCAGCTAATGAAGACGTGGTCCTTCGGGGACATCACGTCCAGCACTGTCCCACACTGTCCCCCTGGTGCCCACAGTATCACACCAGCATCTCGGGCATGCATGCACCGCAGCTCGGCTGGGGGACAGGAACGGGAAGTCTTCTGTTCCACCAGAGCCCTGCAGTCACTTCCTTCTGGCTCTGCCCCTGTGATCACTTCCTTCCTGTGATCACTTCCTTCCGGCTCTGTCCCT